CCCTTTACGACATTAACATTAAAAAAAAAATCCACAGAGTTAGGAATTGGTGTGACACTTTTTTGAATAAATAAAATGTTTTTTATATTCATCTGAATTTGGTTTCCAGATACACTTGACTGATCATAGTATCCTACAGAGCCAATTAGATGTGTGGAGGAAGTTGGAAGCGTACAATTAATTACCTGTTGTTTGGTAAGTTAATTAAAAAAATAACAGGTAGCTTTGAAGGAGGTTGAAAATGTCATTTCTCATCAAGTCACACTTCATTTATTAATACATACTTTTAATGTTCCTCACCTAATATGCATAGAAAATGCACATCATTTTCAAAACGCATGTTGTACTGTTAGAACACTATATGCCTGTGTTTTTTTTTATTATTCTCTGGCCATAATCCAGACTGAGCCTCCGTTAGCCTCATCTGTTAGTCTCGGCTCTACAGAGGCCGCATACAAGTCACATTATCTTTAACAGTGACGGCAAGAGCTTCTTTCTTTGACTTCAAATTGACACTGAACTCAAAAACCATCTAATCTCCACCTTGCAGCTTGTTACACATGAAAGAGATGGAGAGCTAAAAAGAAGTCCATTTCTTATTTATGGGTTCATTTGGAGGGCTTTTCATGCAAACTATTTAAATCCCATTGCTGCTCACCAGGATCTTTGGCCTCACGCTATAGTAACCAAAGAGAAACTTGACTTCAAACATCACTGCACGTCAAATCAGATTATGGGCTTAGTGAAATCTTAAAAGGGAAGTGTGTGCGTGTGTGTGTGTGTGTGTGCGTGTGTGTGTGCGCGCGCCATGCATGCTCTTTGTGTGGTTACTTGAGTGTGGACTGCCTAATTAAAAATGAAAATAGTATGCTTACACTAATTGACAAGTCTGACTCTGTCCTATTCAGAAGGTCTCACTGGGAACCCGCATAGTTGGGGCCCCATGCTTTTGATCGTGCTGTTTTGTTGTCTTAATGCACTCTTGTGACTCACACAAACAAATGCAAAATGTGAATTTTATATGCATCAGCATTTTGTAAAGTGGTAAAATTAGCATGTTTGTGGTGCTTGCTAAGGTAAACACTACCGCTCATACTTACAGGACTTTGACTTAGACTTCTTGGACCATTTGTGCTCTGTCTGTCTGTCTGTCTGTCTATCTAACTATTTATCTATCTGTCTGTCTATTGCTGTACAGTTCTATCTAATATTCTATTGTTTCATCTATGATTCTTTCCATAAGGCCTTCAAGTTCAAAAGTTTGAGGAAAGAAAGAGAGAAAGAGAAAGAAAGAAAGAGAGAGAGAGAGAAAGAACGAACGAAAGAAAGAAATAATGAAAATGTATTTATTTGTTTATTTATACTCATTTACATTGTTACAAAATTCTATTTCAAATAAATGCTGTATTTTTTTTTTATTAATTTTTAAATGAATTATTTCTACTCATCAAATAATCCAGTCCCACTTTATATTAAGTGGCCCTAATGCCTGTGTACTTGCATAGTAACTAGATGTGTACGTAGTATGTAACTACAGTGTAAGTACACATTGGTACATAGTATCTAGAGCTGTAATGTTTCTGTAACTACACACATGTAACAACCCTCCGAATGGTTTGTGTAAGTACAAATGTGTAACAGGACATATATAACTACATTTTGTAACAACAATATGTATAAGAGTAATTGGAACAATTTGATCCAGAGGGTGGAGATGGGTAGGTTTAGGGGTGGAAATGGGATCCAGGGGGTGGAGATGTGTAAGTTTAGGGATATGTAAAGTGGGAGGAGTTGGATCTCGAGTTGGTGGAGTTGGTGCATCACAGTAATACCAGTGTACTTACATGGTAACTCCTCAGGAACTGTCCACTTAATATAAAGTGTAACATTCTGGACACCAACCACAATTTATATGTAAAGCCTAACTTACTGGCCGCTGCTGTGTAACATCAGAGTAATTACATGGTAAATCCATAGGAGTTTACTTAATATAAAGTGTAACACTTTCTTTACCAAAAAGTGCTGTTAGTCCTGTTATACATTTGTACTTTCATTACCAAAATGTGCAATGTCCTGTTACACATACCATTCAGGGGGTTGTTATATATATGTGTAGTAACACAAACATTACAGCTGTAGATACTATGTACCAATGTGTACTTACACTGTGGTTACATACTATGTACACATCTAGTTACTATGTAAGTACACAGGTATTAGGGCCACTTAATATAAATTGGGACCAATTGAAATAAGGTTTCCAGAAAAATATTAAGCAGCCATTTTCAAAAATTATAATAATAAGAAATGTTTCTTTAACTGCAAATCAATATATTAGAATCATTTCTGGAATAATTGAGACACTGAAGACTGGAATAATGTCTGCTGAAAATTCAGTCACAGGAATAAATTACATTTTAAAATATATTAAAATATAAAAACTTGTAATTTAAAATTATACACAATATTGCTGTTTTTACTTTATTTTTTGTAAATATAAATACAGCCTTGGTTGAGCATAAGAGATGTCTTACAAAAACATAAAAAATATCATACCAACCCCAAACTTTTGATCAGTAGTGTATAAACATTCAAACTTAATGGATTTTAAAGGGGTCATATGATGTTGCTAAAAAGAACAGTATTTTGTGTATTTGGTGTAATGAAATGTGTTTATGCGGTTTAAGGTTCAAAAAACACATTATTTTCCACATACTGTACATTATTGTTTCTCCTCTATGCCCCGCCTTTCTGAAACGTGTCGATTTTTACAAAGCTCAGTGGTCTGAAAAAGCGAGGTGTGCTGTGATTGGCCAGCTATCCAGTGCTTTGTGATCGGCCGAATACCTCAAGTGTGAGACGGAAATGTTGTGCCCTGTCAGGCCGGAGCGATGATTCAAAAACATGAAAACCCATTATAAACGAGGCATTCGTTGCATCCAGTGGGGACATGATTATGGATAAGCACGGATCAGCTCCAGGCATGACAAAGCGGATATCGTCCTGTTTTGGAAGACCAAACAAAGTAGTTTCGCTTTCACAACGAAGCACACAGCCTCTTTACGGCATGGCAGCGGAAACAACAAAACTACAGCGAAAATAAAAGTTACGCCTTCTTTCTTTCCGTGAACATTTGGGCGGTGTTATGCAAATCTTCCCACATAGTGACGTAGACATGTGGGGGCGTGTTAGAACGAGCCGTTTTAGGTAGGTGTGGCTGACTCTTAACTTTTGTAAAGAATAACTCTTTGGATTTGAGACTTTAGTCTTTGCAACTTTACAGATCTTCTTTATGCACCAAGAGCTTGTAACACTCCAAAGAGAAAGGAAAAATTTAAATCGCATCATATGACCCCTTTAAACTTTTCCAAAACGTTCAAGGCATTGTCAAACCAGCATTCAATGTTTGTATACTGCCAGTCTTTGCTTTTATTTAAAAATGAGCAATGTGAATTTAATAATTTTAATTCGTATTGCAATTCTTCATCCTGTTTGTCACCTCATTTGAAACTGGAATTTAAAAGACATTCTCAGTTCAATTCTTCAAACTATTTGGCAACCACATAGCAAGACACTTTAAAATAGTCAGAACACCTGGCAACCGCTGCACGGTTGAGTTTTGTATGGGTGTTTTCTTCAGAAAATGTACAGTTCTACTTTTGCTTCTGTAACTTTTCAATCTATAGATTGTAGCATCTGCTCCCGGCTGTAAGAAAAAAGAAAATGTAGCTGTTAACCTGCACCTGGACAGCAGCAGTCCTTCTGGCCTGGATAAAATCCATCTCCCCTATATGCTGCCATGTTATAGCTCTCATATTGATCTAACCTGTGAAAGATACAGTTCGACCCCTGTTGCCTGTCAATCAACCGGTGTTATGAAGTGAGCTTTATTTATCTTTCAAAATGCCTCATGCATACAACTGCAGGATTTTGCACAGGTGAATCTATGGAGCATCGCAATTCACTCAAGCTAAACTTTCACTCAGGAGAACCATCCTGCCGAAAAACAGCAGATGTGTAGGGCTTAAACTGCTCTTTTCAATGCTGTCCCATAACTTTCAGGAGTACAGCGTCAGCGCAAGCATTGAATAATTTAAGATTATCTTAATATATGTGCAGGTGGAGAGCAGTGGACGTCCCTTATCGTTGTGTCTGTATTCAGTTCATGGGGCGGCAGGATAAGGCGCATGACGGAGGCGACAGGGGCCGTAAGAGAGACAAAGTGTCTCGTCATCTTCACTCTCTTCGTTTAATTATGGAGTCTGAGCTGTCACGTTCTTTGTGCGAATGTCCGCCACTGCTAGCCTATGCTCTGTCTCTCTCCGGTTGACACATGATATGACTCTATCAGAATTATTTGCTGCAGAAGGTCCCCGTGCACATTAAGTAAAGTTCAAGTGGAAGCTGAGGGATTTGATCGCTCTGATACTCTCCCTCTTTCTTTCTCACTTTTTATTTCTTCTTCACTGTCTCAATGTCCTTTTCTGCTGCTGCTCTTTTTCATTTCTTGTTAATCAGTGAATGTCTATGAAAGGACTCCTTAGTATAAATTTAGCTAGATGCTTTAATTGAGAAAGTAATGCACTTTGTATCAAGAAGAGAAGAAAGTTGTGGCTCTTCATCAAAAACGAAAATATTTATTTTGGTGAAAATAAAATTACTTTAACCCTTCTTTAACCCTTATTTTGACATTATTATTATTATTATTATTATTTGTACTTTATATAATTGTTATTCTATAATATTATTCTATTATTTAATTTGTGTTTGTGTGTGTGTGTGTGTAATGTGTAGTAGCATTTACATAGCAAATGTATTTATTTTACAGATTTATTTGTTTGTTTGTTTGTATTTATTTATTTATTTATATGGAATGTATAGTAATATTTACATAGATTAAAGTATTAAATACTATTATTTATTTATTTGTTTACTTATCGTTATTACTTGTTCCTTACTGTAAATTCATGTCTTCATTTTTCAAACTTTTCTTTCTCCAGGTAACGAGTTTGGCCATCCGGAATGGCTTGACTTTCCCAGAAAAGGAAACAACGAGAGCTACTATTATGCCCGTCGCCAGTTCAACCTTGTGGACATTGAGCATCTGCGATACCGACAACTATACTCTTTCGACCATGACATGAATCTTACAGAAGACAAATACGGCTGGCTGGCTGCCGGTCAGGTGAGATGCACAAACACACATTCCTAAAGGTGCGTTTCTCATACTGGCTTTAACCTACAGAAGAAAGCTAGTGTAAATCTCCTTGCTGGGTCTCTCCTTGCCATCTGTTAAACTGTGGGGAGCTATTTATCTGCCATAATAAATGGGATGTGAGATGCATGACCCATATGATAATGAAATTGCATAATACAGCCAACCAGGCATGACTCTCCATAGCAGGAAGTCTATTTCACACACACACCTTGCACTAAAGACAGCAGAAATAAGATTACAACCGCATTAAACTGTATAAAACCCTGTCAAACCACAGTTTATGTCCAATATATGTTTCAACAAAATCAAAGACTCATATTGTCTTTAAAGACAGAGATTTATATTAAATTAACAATCACAGAGATGGATGTCACAGTCTGATATCGTCAAAAATCTCAATATGAATTCAAATATATTTTATTGAATTCTTCCAAGAGCAAATTATCTAAGCTATTCCACTCAAAAATAGCTTTATACCCTTTTGAGAAAGAAAAAAAAAATCTTAAACCAGCTGGCTCAATTGTTTTAGTTGGTTTAAGCTGGTCACGCAACCCGTTTTTTTTTTTATTCATTTATTTATTTAGTCATATTAATATTATTGTATTCATTTGAGTTATTATTAGAATTATTATACCATTATATAAAGTATACTTTTTTTAGTTAAAATGTATGTATTTATTTCAATAATTTATATATTTATATTATTTTATGTATAATGTTGTTTTTCTTAATCTTATATGTAGTATATGTATTAATCAATTGATTAATTGATTGATTGATTGATTGATTGATTGATTGATTGATTCGCTCATTTATTTGTTTATTTGCTCATTTATTTGTTTTTTAAACGTTCCTACATGAAACAGCAACACATTTCTGCCACTTCTATCAAGTATAAGTTATTCTTTGTATCAAAACATGTATTATTTTATTTTTTGTTTTATTTTGTTATTCTTGTTCTTATATGTAGTAGTAGTAGTGTCATTTATTTGTTTGTTTATTTATTTACTAATTTATAAAAAAAATGTAATGTTTCTACATTAAACAGCAACAAGTTTCTGCCACTTATTTGTATCAAAACATATTTTAGTTTGTTTTTGTTTTCTTTTGTTTTCTTTTGTTTTACACCGTTTATACTCTTTTGAACATAGACCAGACTAAGCTGGTTCAGTGGTTTTAGTTTTAGCTGGTCCACCAAACCTGGCCAAGAAAATTTTAACTAGTTTTAGATTATCAATCTGTGAGTCTCCTAGCCAAGTTTGACCATCAGACAAAACCCTCTAAAAACCAATAAAATCAAACCAAGTAAGGGCAGCAAAACAGACTTGCTGATTTTTTTTTTTTACTTACTTTTTCTTTTTTAAACTCACATCACCAATTGTTTAATTTCGAATTTCAAGTTTTTATTTCTCCGAAGACATTTTAGAAAAAACAAAAAACATCTGAGAACTCATGAACTGTGAGCTACATCTGAGCAATAACAGCTTTCTCTGAGTTTATTCATGTTTGACAATCATTTACATCATTTGCATCTTGTTTTTGTTTCTAACAGGCAGCAGTCACGACTTTGAATCAAGCTGACAAGGTGATCGTGTTTGAACGCTCAAACCTGCTGTTCATATTCAACTTCCATCCCTGCAACAGCTACATCGACTACAGGGTGGCAGTGGAGCATGCTGGGAAGTATCCTTTCACCAGAGATCTCCAGAAGACTAGCACATTATAGTAATGGAGAGTGTGTCTATATGTGTGGGAGTGAGATGATATATGTGTATGTGCATATAGCAAGTATGTGGGAGAGAGGCTAGGTCATTTATTATAAATGCATTATCCACATATAATACACGCATGATGAGACTGAGTGTGTATTTACAATGTTTTGCAATTTCAAGACTTCCATGTGTGTCCTTCAACCCTTCATGGCTCTTTAGAGGCCGGCCTGCCATTGGTTGTGACACATTCCCATTGATGTGTAAAGACGAGGTTGTACACTAGTGAGGAAGGGGGAGGGGAAAACGATCTGACAAGTCTTGAAAACACATTTAATTGGCTGCAGAGATGCTAGAGGTGACTGTCATCACACAAAACGAGCTGTTCGTGGCTTTGTATGTGCGTGTTTGTGCGTGGGTGTGTGCATGTAATGCTGTGTTGGGGCATTCAGGTTGCACCAATGGGAGTTTGTGTTTGTATGGAGAGTCCAATTAGGAGGAGAGAACGAGACACCCTACGATGAGAGAAACTACGGCTCATCAAACATCACCCACTCGCATATATTTGCGCACACAAATTCCCTCACTCACCGAAAGAGAAGGCCTTAGCCCGGTTAAAATCCACAAAGATGAAACCAGTGCCGTTGTTGTTTTTGATTGAAAGAGCTTTTAGCATATAGCGGAAGACGGTATTACCTTAAGCCAGAAATCAGGTCAATTAAAGGCAGAGGGTTTGTTGAAACTTCCAAAGAACTCTAGAAAATGTTTCAGATTTATGTATTCGAACATACAGTGGAGATTCAAAATTTAATTTATTAAATGTAAACTTTTAAGTTCTATGGAAGTTTTAGAGGAAGGAAGTTTATCATTATAAAAATACTATAAATATATAATAAAAATAGAATAATAATAATAATCAAAGTAACAGACGGACAAACCAAATACTAAGCCAAATTCTATTTAAAATGTAAAACAATATTTTGTATTATTATTATTATTAAAGTAAAATGGGAATAAACCTATATACTACTGAGCCAAATTCTGTTTAAAATGTAAACAAGATTTTTTATTATTATTATTATTGTTTTTGTTTTTATTAAAGTAAAATGGGAATAAACCTATATGCTACTGAGCCAAATTCTGTTTAAAATTTTATTATACAAAATATTCAATAATAATAATAATAACACCAGCGGTGTATTCCAGAAAGGAGGTTCAACAAACTCTGAGTTAAAACTTGAACTCTGAGTTGACTTACCCTGAGATGGGAAACTCTGAGTTTTCGGTTTCTAAACAGCTGATCAGAGTTAGTTCAATCCACTCTGAGTAGGTTGACTCTGAGTTTAGCGCGTGCACCATGACTATGAAAAGCCATGATCAATGGAGCTCCGAAATTACGATTCACCATAGCAACAGCACCCGACAAAAAGACCTCTGCATACTATGGAACACGTAACTTTCATTCTAAATCAATGGTGAAAACTGGCAGAAAGGTAATTTATTGAACTAATATTCATTTTCATGATATCCCACGAGGGGAAAAAAGAAAGGAAAAGGAAAAAAATGTGGCAGCAGAAAAAAAATTAACATAAAAACATAATTCAATCAGGTAAATCTTCAAGCGTAAAATGGGTGTAGGCTAACCTTACATGACTTTACAAATATTTGACATTCAATAAATATCATTCAGTGTATATCTATTTAAATGTGCAGCAGTTTTTCCCACATAGTCTAATGATTTTTCACATAATTAAATGTTCTCTAATCCAACATGTGGTGGTGGTTATGGCATATATCTCACACTACCCTTCCATGTGGCATCCTTCCATACCATACAGTAATCAGCTTCATTTTCGGAAGGTGCGATGGTGAGAATGTGTGTAATCAATGCATCCAACCACACTGGAAATCCTAAAGGAAATTCTAATTATTAGGTTACTTAGAGAGGTCGCAACAAGATGTTATCAAGTGAACGGCATTTAAAAATGGTACCGTTCAAATAAATATGCATGTGTATATGGCAAAATAAATAAATTAGATCAAATTAAATTAAATCGTCTCCTGATGTAAATGTAACTCCCCGCGAATTAATGCAGCCTCCTCATCTACAGGATCCCTTATAAAAAAGACATGCCATTTTTGTCACGTTTACCGTGTCTGCATGATGAAAATGAAAATGGTGAGGTGAGAAAAATAATCTTGTTTCCATTTTCATTAAGATTATTTTTCTTACCTCGCTGGCAATTCATTTTACTTGTTTCCCCCAGGAAACAAAACTAAATATCGTGCATCATGATTTAAGAATTTTTAGATATTTGTACTTGAAATAAGGCAAAAATCTCAGCAATAAAAGCAATTTTTGCAGCGTGAATGAATGAATGAGGTATTTAAACATTGCTTACGCTTTAAAAAGGGGGAGGAGACCGAAAGAAACTCTGGGTTTACCGAAGAAAACCAGCTCCCGACCAGGTTAGGTTCAGTTAATTAACTTACCGAGAGGTTTAGTTTTGTCTTTTTTTTGGAACTGAAAACACTGTTTCCCTTTTCATGGGTTAACAAACTCTGAGTTTCCAACAAAACCCGCTTTCTGGAATACACCCCAGTAATAATCACAAAACCAAACAATAACAAAAGGGATAGTACAAACAAAATACTAAGCCAAACAGTATTTAAAAGTTAAAAATTGTATTTTGTAATGTTCTTATTATTATTATATAGAATATTGTTTTACATTTTTAAATAGTATTTGGCTTAGTAGTATATATGTTTATCCCCATTTTACTTTAATAATAATAATTAATAAAAGGAAATGTTGCCCAAATCAAATATTTTGTTACTAAATATAGTATTGTGAAATTCATGTATTCACTCAAATTATTATGTTGCTGACAATATAAAACATAATGAAAATGCAGCATAAATGCATTTTCACTTATGGTCTCAGACTTATGGACCCCACTTAACTGCATAAATCTGCATAATTAGTTTAATTCTACTCTTCATTCATTTTCAAGGCTCTTGTTTGTGTCTTGTCATGAGTCTGTGCTTGTGCGTGAGTCGTTGGAAGCATCAGAATCTTGTTTGTGAGCGCATCGAAATGGATGCACCTATACCTCAGATCAATAAAACAGCAAATTGTGGTGGCAAACAGACCCGGGCAGCCTGCCTCAGATGGGGTGGGATCCATTTATTTTGCCCCCAAGAAAGGAGCTCTATGTTGGGGGAGGCTTGAGTTTCTGCTAGGGGTTTTCTGCAGTCTCCATGTTTCGGGGAAAGAGAATGAGATCGATAAAGTGCTGTAGGAGTATATCTCCAGAACTTTCCCCGTACCGCTTTCCTCTTTTATATTTCATTCAATGTGTTTTTGCTCTTACAGTAGTTTGCCTCTTTTCGCAGTCAAGGGAAGCGGACAGGGATCCTACTCGTCTGTGATAGTCAACAATTGCTTAGGAGGCACACTTTGCCAGACAAGGGTTTGATAAATAAGTAAAAAGACAAACAGTACGTGTGCGTTACAAGGTTGCAGCTGATGCTAAGAGAGTCTTGGTGCTTAAAGCCTAGTGAAAGAGGTAACGACAAAATCCTTTGTCAGTTTTGTACATGATGAAATCCTAGATTTTTTTTTTTTTACAAAATGGAAAAGTTTGTAATTGTATCAGTTAAACAAGTTGTTCAGTGTTCCGTGTGTGGTCTAAGACTTTTTATTCAACAAGGTGAAAAAAAACATGGCAAATATGTTTAATGGCAAATATTTTTGTGGAAACTATGTTAATGTTTTTTCAGGATTTTCACAAATAGAACTTTCAGTAAGAACAGCATTTGTTTGAAATAGAAAACCTTTGTACCATAATAAATACATTTACAGTCATTTTTGATCAACTTAAAGTGTCTTTGTTGTTAATTTTTATGGTTTCCATGTTAATATTAAGCTTCAAAAACTGTTCAGAATTAATAATAATAAAAATCAGCATATTAGTATGATTTCTGAAGTATCATGTGACACTGAAGACTGGAGTAATGATGCTGAAAATTCAGCTTTGCATCACAGGAATAAATTAAAATTTAAAATATATTAAAATAGCCAGCAGTTGTTTTAAATTGTAATAATATTTGTAATATGTAAATAAGTTTTTTTAATTAAAAACTAAAATGTTTCAGATTTATGTAATTAAACGTACAGTGGAGATTCAAAATCTAATTTATTACATTTAAGCCAAGTTTTAAGGAAGGACAAACTAAATACTAAACTAAATTCTATTTAAAATGTAAAACAATATTTTGTATTTTATATACTGTACATATATAGTAAAAAGTATAGTAAAAGACAAACTGAATACTATTAAAATCAAAAATATTTATTATTATTATTATTATTATTATTACTGTTTTTTTATTACATTAATCCAGCCTTGGTGTTCATAAAGTCTTAATCAGTATTTTTGTCTTGTCAGATCTTAGCCAGTATATATATATAATTTTTTTTTTTTTTATAGTACAGATTTTGTCAACTTTGTCAGCCTTGCACTCGCCTTCCAGAAAACTTTCAAGCTCAATTATAAATGCCCCCACTGTCAAGTAATAAACACCTCTGCAAGGCACAGAGCTCCACGCACTGAGCGGCAAGTTTGAACCGTGTCGCTAATGCACTTTCCAGCAGCTCCAGACTCGAGCGATCATCCTCTCATTATAGCAAACCCAGAGCAGTGGCCCTTGCCCACCCCGCAGCTCCGCTCGTACCCCCTAGCCTCCTCTTCAGAGAACAAGGGCTGCGGGGAGCTGCCGGAGATGAGCTCCACCAGCTGAAGGCCTCCCACCAGGGCCTCTATTTAATCACGGCCCAGGCAGTGAGCCCGCTTGGCGGGGAATAAAGACACCCTTCAGCCAGGGCCACTTTGGCTTCCTCCAGCCCCTGCCGCTGCCCTTTCTGTGTCTTGCTCACGAGGGGGGAGCCCTCTTCCCATGCCACCAGCCGTC